CCCTAACAAAGCCCCGGAGCTGGTGGCGCTCCCGGGGCAGCTTCCGGCGCCCGCCGGCCGGCAGGAGCCTGCAGTGTGGGCGGGGCGGCGCCTAGGCACAGAGGCGGAGGGGGTCTCTGTGTGCTACACCAGCTCCCTCCTGCCCAATCAGAGCTGCGGGGGCGGGGCTTGCAGGCGCCAGCAACGGGCAGAGAGCCCTCCGCCCCCCCAACCCAACCCTAGGAGCCAGAGGGACCTGCTGGATGCTTCCCAGGAGCTGCCCCAGGTAAACACCACTGGGACTCCCCACCTTGCCCCCCGGCAGGTCCCTCTGGCTCTTAGGGTCGGGTTGGGTTGGGGGAGCGGAGGGCTCTCTGTGCGCTGCCAGCGGCTGCAAGCTGCACTCCGTGGCTCCAGCAGCTCCTATTGGCGCTTTTCCCGGCCAATGGGAGCCACGGAGCTCGCGCTTGTGGCAGGCGCAGCACATGGAGACCCCTCAGCTGCCCCTGATCCTAGGAGCCAGAGGGACCTGCGGCAGGAGGGATGAGTAGGCAAGCGGAACGGGGTGAAGAGGCAAGCGGTGAGCAGCGGGGGTTGAGTAGGTGAGCGGGGGGGGATGAAAAGGCCAGCGGTGGGCAGTGGGGGTTGAAGAAGCAAGCAAGCCAGTGGCTGGCAGGCTGGCGGGTGGGTGAGGAGGCAAGTGGCAGGCAGGGAGGATGAAGAGGTGAGCGGCGATCCAGCGGCAGGCCGTGGGGGGGGGGGGTGGAAAAGGCCAGCGGCGGGCAGTGGGGTTGAAGAGGCAAGCGAGCCAGCGGTGGGTGGGCGGGAGTGAGGAGGCAAGAAGTGGCGAGCCAGCGGCAGGCGGGGGTTCTCGGGGCGGGCATGGGGGTTTCTGGCAGGGGAGTGAGGAGGCGAGTGGCAGGTGGGAGGAGGCGACCGGTGGGTGGGGGACTGAGGAGGGACACAGCAAGCCAACGGTGGGCCAGGGGGTGAGGTGGGGTGCAGTGGCAGGGCCGAGCAGGGAGGGGGCAGGACCTGGGGCACAGTAGGGGCAGAGCGTGGGAGACTGTGGGTGGGGCCGACACCCCCCGATGGAGTTTCCTCTTTTTTGAATGTTCAAATATGGTAACCCTAGTACACTTACACAGCAAGTGGGCAAAATTACAAACGCCCTGGGGTTCACGGATATGAGTGCTGGTGCAGTCTAGGAATCCATATGCAGATGTCATGGATTTATTAATTCCTCAGATTTCTATAATAACTGCTGGTTTTAGCGAATTAGTAGAAAGCCATTTCCCTATGGGTTGTAAGACAGTGATCAGCAGTGGAATATAATACCTTAAACATGACATGTCCTACAGAGACAACCATTCAGTCATTGTCACTTGTCTGGAGTCTATTCAACAAGATTTTAATCCTACCTGAAATCACATGCGGTGGTAAATTCTGCTCCACCTCCCAGAGCTTTTCCTTGAACTAATGCAACACTAATCAGAGGCAGCCTACACAAGAGAGAAAGACAGAGGATTTTTATACCCAGAGTGTATATTTTTAATACCAATGTACAAATAATGGAAGGACTCAGGCATTGTATTTCTGCAGTAAGCGCTCAGTAAACAGAAGTCATAATTCAAATGCCTTCAGTCTCTTAATCTGTGCATGTAGACAAAACAAAACTGATCACTGCATTTATGCTGCAATATTTATACCATGCTGGAACACCAAGAGAACAAAGCATCTAATGGAATAACTGATTTTTTAGACAAAGGAAATGCAGTAGATCTAATCTACCTTGATCTCAGTAAGGCATTTGATATAGTTCCACGTGGGAAATTATTAGTTAAATTGGAGAAGATGGTGATGAATATGAGAATTGAAAGGTGGATAAGAAACTAGTTAAAGGGGAGACAACAACGGGTCATACTGAAAGGTGAACTGTCAAGCTAGAGGGAGGAGTTTACTAGTGGAGTTCCTCCAGGATTGGTCTTTGGACCAATCTTATTTAACATTTTCATTCATCACCTTGGTGCAAAAAGTAGGAGTGTGCTGATAAAATCTGCGGATGACACAAAGTTGGGAGGTATTGCCAATACTGAGGAGGACCGGAATATCATACAAGAAGATCTGGAATGACCTTGTAAACTGGAGTAATAGAAATGGGATGATATTTAATATTTCATGCATTTAGGAACTAACAACTAGAATTTTTACTATAACCTGGGGATGTATCAGTTGGAAGTGATAGAGGAGGAAGACGACCTCTTGATCACAGGATGACTATGAGCTTGCAATGCAATGTGGACATGAAAAAGGCTAAAGCAATCCTAGGATGCATCAGGTGAGGTATTTCCAGTAAAGACAGGAAAGTGTTAGTAGCATTATACAAGGCACTGGTAAGACCTCAGCTGGAATACAGTGTACAATTCTGGTCTCCTGTGTTTAAGAAAGTTGAATTCAAACTGGAACATCTGCAGAGAAGGGCTACGAGAGTGATCAGAACAATGAAAAACCCATCTTACAAGAGGAGACTCAAGGAGCTTGGCTTGTTTACCATAACCAAAAGAAGGCTTAGGGAAGATAGGATTGAACTATAAATATATCAGAGGGATAAATATATCAGAGGAATAAATACCAGGGAGGGGGAGAAGTTATTTAAGTTAAGCACCAGTGTTGAAACAAAAACAAATGGATATACATTGGCCATCAACAAGTTTAGGCTTGAAATTAGATGAAGGTTTCCAACCATCAGAGGAGTGAAGTTCTGGAACAGCCTTCCAAGGGGAGCAGTGGGGACAAAAAACCCAACTTGTTTTAAGACTGAGCTTGATAAGTTTATGGAGGGGATGGTATGATGAGATAGGCCACATGTCACTGCAGGCAATCAACAACTGCTAGTAGCAAATATCCCCAGTGGCTGGTGATAGGACACTAGATAGGGAGGGCTCTGAGTTACTACAAAAAATACTTTCCCAGGTGTCTGGTTGCTGGGTCTTGCTGACATGCTCAGGGTCCAACTGATCGCCATATTTGGGGTTGGGAAGGAATTTTCCCTTAGGTCAGATCAGCAGAGATCTTGGGGGGATTTCGCCTTCCTCTGCAGCCTGGGGCATGGGTCATATCCTGGTTTAAATTAAATACTCTGTAATCTAAAGTCTTTAAATCATGATTTGAGGACTTCAATAACTCAGCCATAAGTTGTGGATCTATTACAGGAGTGGGTGGGTGAGGTTCTGTGACTTACAACATGCAGGAGGTCAAACTAGATGTTCACGATGGTCCCTTCTGGCTTTAAAGTATATAAGAGTCACCTTCATTAGTGAAACAACCCACTATTCTACCGTGAAACGTATCTACTAACGAATTATACAAAATATTGTTAATTATTTATCTAGCCACATAAATGCACATAGTGCCCTAGAGACAAGTAAAAGTCCATTCCAGTACCTCAATGAGGTTATGTGGAGACCTAATGTGCTCACAGATGGTTACAAGCATTGGGAGTGGTGGTAAGAGAAACGGAGGACATGGGTTACAACAGAAAGGTCATTTGGGTTTTTTTGGAAAATAACATGCACATATGTCAAGGCTGATTCCCCACTCTGGCACTTTGAGTGCATAAGGTGGGGGCCTGCAAGGACTCTAAAAATTAATACTTGCCGCTCCAGATTTGTATTAAACTTCCAAGGTTACAGCTTTTCTCTGTCCTTGAATTGGTGGATGCTGCCACCACCCAAGTGCAAAACCCCTTTGAGAACCCAGGAAGGTGCACTTGGGAATTCCTTCCTCTGGGGTACCCTCAAGTCCTTTCAGCCCCCCTCCGGGGAAGAGCTGAGAAGAAAAACAAAGGAAATCAGCGGTTGCCACCAGCTAATTAAACAACATGTGCCCAAACCTCTTAGGACACAATAATCCAATTCTGTTCTTAAAAAAGGTAAACTTTATTAATAATAAAAAAAAAAAAGAAAATACATCCCGGACTTAGGCTTTTGCCAGATTTAAAACAAACAAACAAACAAAAAAGACCAACCCTACAAGAATTAAGCATCAAGAATAGCTCTCTTGAGGTCCAGCTTAAAGGTTACAAGCAAAACAAAAGCACCTGGGGTTAGCACAGAGGAATCCACAATCCATAAAGAAATAAAAGGGATAAATCTAATCGCGTCTTCCTAGACATTTCCTGATCTACTTTCATATCTGGAGTTTTAGATGAGTAGTTTCTAGGTATGATACTGATAATTTTTCATACCTGGCCCAAGCTTCTCACAGCATAACTGCTCCCTGTCTGCCTCTCCCTGAGAGAACAGACAGAGACACAAAGGGGAAGTCTTGTTTCAATTTTAAAAAGTTCTAGCCTTCCCATTGGCTCTTTTGGCCAGGTGCCCACTCACTTCCTTTTACCTATTCATTGCACAGAGACTTTTTAACCCTTTACAGGTAGAGCAATTAGAGAACAGCTACTAAGAGGGATTTTATAGCTACTAGCTGGCTGGGTGTCTATAAAAGGGAGTTCTCCCCCCACCTCCCCCTTTCATTTATCACAACATCCTGAGGATTTTGGTTGAGGGTGGTTTACGTGAAGGCTGGGATGATTTTTTAAAATACTGAATTTGATCCACTTCCCTTTTCCACCAGCAGAAGCCTGGACTATGGGGCCTCTGTGGCAAAAAGTCTGCCTTTAGGAAGTAGTGATGGGGTCAGCAACACTAGATTGATCTGAAGTCATCCATCAGAGTACAGAAAGTGGGCAGGGCTGGATGAGGTAGAGTGTGGCTAGGACACCAAAATAATTCTGAGATTCGGAATGGTTTCTAGGCAACCTCTGCCTGCACGTCTCCTATAGAGTCTCATTCATAAATGAAACTGCCCTTCACTGACAGAACTCCTGAAGGGCAGAAGCAGTTTGTAGCCTTTGCGATTGCTGTATCTGCCTGTATCCGCTGGGGGGAGTCTCGGCCCACTGTTACTTCAAGGTGAGTAATACTTTCATTAATCGCACTAACTTGAGGTCTACCAGGAAATTGAAGCAATTGGTCAATACCAGTTTACATTTCTACACAATAGGTTGTCTCTAATTGCCAGACTAAACGTAATTCAGTGAGTTGATGGGCAGTTTATTATGAGGTTAAAGAAGAAACCTAGATTCAAAAATAAACTTCAGAATTCTCCATCGTGGGTAGACAGGGAATAAAACCACAGTAGCAGGAACAATTTTCAGCCCCCAACAATGTCTAAGAGCCATCCCTTAGAGAAGCATTAATGCCTGTATGTCTCGCATTCACAGAGACAAGGCACAAGGAGCTTATTGGAGAAGAAGGATGGTCTTGTAGTTAATGCACTCAGATGGGAATCAGAAAATATGGGGTCAATTCCTAGGTCTACCACAAACTTCCTGTGAGATTTTAGGTAAATCACTTAATCTCTCTGTGCTTCAGTTAAATAGTATCTTTATGCCACTGTTTGTCTGTCCTGTCTATTCTGATTGTATTAGATAGCATCCACGCAAATGGAGTCCCAGTTCTGACTGAGACCTCTAGGCACTACTGTGTGATACAAACAACAGGTCTATGATCTCCTGGGGAAGATTACCGAAAGACGTGGAGCTTGGCAGTTAACCCATATCAATGCTCTCTCATATATCGTTTGGAAATATAGAACCTTTTTATCTTCCAAGTGCCCCCAACAGACATCTTGAAAAATGTTAATGACAAATAAAGGACAGAAACAATCCAGAGCACAGACTCATTAGAAATACTATTTCTTGATTTCTAAAGGGATGCTACAAATAATAGAGAACAAAAACCAAGTATGAAAACTTATCAATGATAAAAGTGAACTAATACCCCTCATCTGCATGTTCCTTCCATGAAGTGGCTGACCCAAAATAATAAAATAACGCACTTGTGTAGGCTGTGTAAGTTTTGCCTTCCCACTTTTGAAAGCTCACTAGCCTCCACTGAGTTAACTATAGAAAATGTGAAGGCCCAGATTTTCAAAGTGACTTCAGCCTGCCCTCCAAATCTAGGTCTGCAATTTTAACCTAAAACTCAGAGTTGTATGTACAAATCAGATTTAGAGACACACACGTCGCTACCCAACTTGCACACATAAATATGGGACTTTGGGTTCCAAAAGCTTGCACAATTATAAACTGTGTATGTAAATTTAGAGGCCACTTCTGAAAATGTAGCCAGAAATGCATTGTAGTCCTTGCATGATTTCTTCATGGAGAAGAAGAAAGAGAAAATATTACCTCTTAAGTCTGGTTAAGGTGTTTTGCATAAACATGCAGATGTTCATTCCATCCTATAAAGAATAAAAACAAAAACAAAAAACAGATTCACCCTAAGATACAGCAAAGTTATAGAAAATTCTTTTGCTCTCTTAAGGCCCTGATTCTGATCTCAAACTAATTTATTCTTGTGTAATTCCACTGATATCAATGGAGTTGCTATGGATTTATATTGATGTGAGTTTAGAATTAAGAACAGTGTTGATAAGAGACTGTCAAAGTTAGTAGACTCAAAATATTTATAGTTAGTCAAACAATGCCAAATTATCTTTCACAGGACATTTTTGATATTATTTATTTTATGAAAAAACACACCCCAAAACATTTCAATTTTCAATTCAATGTTGAGTGTAAATTTTCAGTTCTCAGTATAAATTTTTGCTTTTCAAAAAAACAGAAAATTTAGATTGAGATGAAAATTTTCCATTGAAAATTTTATTTCTCTCTAAAAATGGTTCAACTAAAAAATTCTGACAACATCTACTAGTCTCCCCTTTTATATCAGCTTGCAAAGTCTATTCATTGAACTGCACATATGTATTTCTAGAACAAATGTTTCAATTCTGCTTAAGAGAGAGAGAGAGAGAGAGCATGCTAGTTAGTCCTGTAGCTGTGTGGATGAGATGGAACAAACCTGTGGATAAGTAAACAGATTTTTGCTTCAGTCTTTCAAGTAAAACAAATTTGAATGTGATGAATAAACAGCTCCATTTTGCTTACATATGTATTTTTTGCAAACTCAGTTTTAGTGCTAGTTAAAGGTGCTGTGTTGACTGAAGTTTTCTACTCACAGCAAGTATAGCGCACGCAGATGAAGCTTATTTCATACTGCCCTGCCAACATGTTTTAACTAGTAACTAGAATAAATCCACCTGCTAGGTGGAAGAACATTTCAGCTTCTCTGCCATTTATTTTTGGACTTCTGAGAGCAGAACATGACACCACTGCTATGAAGCCAACTGGCAGTTTAATATTTGAGGACAGATCTTTAGCTAGTGTAAACTGTCATGGCTTCATTTAAGTCCATTTATGTGGCTCTGTCCATAATAACTCAAATAACTCAAAGGTTGCTTGGAAATGACATTTCACAGTATTTATGACAATATTTAAAAATATCAGATTTTTATCTATTACTATAAGTCTGATCTTACACCTGTTGAAGTCAATGGCAGCTCTCCCATTCCCAGCTAGTGCAGGAGTAAGCCCCTATTTGATCATGTCTAGTATTACTGTGCAAGAATAAAAAATTCAAAATGATTGCAGATATTTATGTTATGACAATGTTCAGGCTCAGACCAGAGTGCTGCATTTTATATGCTATAATCATCAGGATGCAGCCAAATTGTCCCAGAGGAATTTGTTTATACTTTATCATACCACAGTGGAGTCCTTGTATTCAAATTGGCATTTTTGTACACTTTTAATTTCATGCTGAAAGTCAAAATGGAAACTAAAGAGTAATCGGGTGGAACATTTTGATAAACACTTCTGTGATTCAGTAGACAAAAACAAATCTCTTCCTACTGGTGCTTTTCAGAATAACTATCAGGCAGTAGAAAAATTTGTCTATTTCAAATGGAAAGACTATGAGAAGAACTCTCAAAAACCTTATCTCAGCTCTGACCAATTATATTTACAGGCTTTTCTGATAAGACAGAAAGAAAAGAAAAAGTAGGTTACCAGACACCGTACTTTATCAGAATAAGAAACATGTTCTTTGGAGACTCAGGAACAATCACACTTTCAGCTATAATAGTATCCTCAGAGTAAGAAGAAAACTAATCAAAGTGCACAAAGTAAAAAAAAAAAAAAAGGAATGAACTATCTGTTGGTACAAAGACAAGTTTGTTTGTTGGGGGAAAGAAAACCCCATTCACAGAGAAAGCAGAATATGAAACCATATTGATGGTCTTAGAACATCACTGCTCCTCTAAGAGTCAAATAGCCTAGGTTATACTCTCAGCTATAGCAAGCTCTCCACAGACCACTGGCAAGTGCTCAGCAGACCAGCAGACCTGTCTGGTAGTCTACAAATCGCAGCTGAGGAACCACTGCCTTACAGCTTCTAGAGAGGGATCAAGAAGAGGTGTGAGCCTCCTCCATTCTTCTCACCTGTCCCCTCTAGAGCTTCCCCTCTGTTTCAGTTAGCTGTATCTCTGTGGCTTACTGCAGAGTAAGAGTATTGATATTCATAAACTAGGGTCTGCTCCTGCAGGCAAAGTCACAGAAAAACAAGTTTTTTTTAAACATACCATTCCTGTTCATTTGTTTTCTATGATTTGGTCAACAAACCAATGACACCCATGCAGAAAGCACTTTGTCCCAGGAAAGAACAGGGGCTGTCTCCTAGCCAGCATTACCTCTGTGCTATCATTTTTTATTTTCAGATTAGAAGAGATTAAATAGGCGGGGAGGAGGAGCCACTAGAGGGCATGAAAATCCTTCAGTTTTCTGGGTCATCTTTCTGCCTCTCTGTACCAGAGGAAAAATGCAAGATTTTGTGCTGGATTTACAAAAATCACAGAAAACAAATCAGCAAATTAGTCAAATAAAAATTTATTTTTCAATAATTGCATGAAGACAAGCAATGCCATGGAGAAAAGCCGCTGTGCAAAAATGCAATGAAAAGGTACCAGCCCAGACACAAAAGCTTCACCTTCACCATGAGGATGATCAAAAACCTAAATGTTCCACCCTCCATCAACGAGTGAGAGTTTAGAGTTCTGCAAGGTTGGATTAAAAGCAAATGTTATTTCTCAAGCTATACAGCTTTAGTGTTGTCAGAGATATGAAATCCCAGTGGATGGATGTGTCAGGGATCGGCAATTTTAAAGAATCTCTCATATCTGAATAATTGGTTTGAATACAGCCAAGGCCATTAAGTCAAAAGTGTATTTGAAGTGTTCTCAGGCCAGTTCTTGTGGCTTTCATGGCTTTATTTTAGTTCTTGTATGTGAATTGGCTTCTTGGAGAGAAAGTACTTTCTTGGAACAAGGTCGTACCAATACCTATCCATTCCATTCCTCTCAGTAAGTCTACTGAGGACCATTTTACATTAGCCTTCCCTCCTGTTGCAGTGGATCCAGTTTGTATAATTTGCAGAATTCTGAATGTCAAAGAGACTTTATATGGAAATAGTCACTTCATCGAGAATGATTAAACATGGAATTCAAAGGGAAAGCTTAATCTGCAAATTACAAGAACAAGTTGGCATACATTTGGTTTGCAAAGACTCAGCTACTTTTTACTTACTATAACAACACTTGTGTGACATAAATGGAGATTTCTATGTACAATCGTAGCACAAGCACCGTGGAACATCCTTGCTTGGGGAAAAAAAAAAAAAAGTTCTTCAAAACATCAAAGATTGCGTCTTCTACCAAAAATGAAAATGTATATTAATCACTTGGCCACTAATGTGCTGATACTACTGCTGATCAAGCTAATATTTTATCATTGTTTCTTTGCTCACCCATTTGTCTGTATCCATCTGTTGTCTCATCATATACTTAAGAGCTTTGTGCAGGGATCATTTTGTTGTTATGTGTTTGTACTGTGCCTAGAACAATGAGGCGCTCTTCTATGAAAGAGGCTCCCAAGTGCTATGGTAACACAAAGAAATAAATAATATAATAATAAACTTGCCTGTGGGCTGGACATTGCTCTGACAGCATTCAAATTAGATCCTGAGCAAAAAGTATTTTCTGCACCATGGATGATAAGACCTTTCCCATCCTTCCAATTTTCCAGTTCAGTTACCCTCTCCTGGAGTTCTAGCATCATAGTGCCTGTCATTAGGGGAGAAAAGCACAACTGTGTCAATGGGGACACAATCAGAGTGTAATCTTACTGTACTGCTTGATATTTAAATTGTGCATCACCAAGAATACCTTATACCAACAGGGAACTAGTAAATGATTGTTGGAAACATTTAAAGTAAAACAACACCTTGAGATATTGGGTCAATGTCTGGCATAATGGTCCCATCCGTCAGAGAACTTAAGCACATCCTTAACTTTGAGTGGTGACTTGTCAGGCACGTCTTATGAGATTAATATTAAGCATATGTTATAAATGACATCAAAGCAATACTCACTTCCCCAGAGAAGTAATGACATGCATAGCATTTTTGGTAGAAGATTCAGTTTCTGACATCCTGAGGAATTTTTAGAGAAGGAAGGACATTCCACAATGCTCATGGCTGCATTTACAGAAAGAATAACTTGACTTCAGTGGAACTACTCATGCTTAAAGTTAAGCTTTTAAGTGCTTTCATGGACCAGGGCCATAGTCAACAGATGAAAGAAGAAACACACAGACAAAGTCAAGGAGATCATCAGGAAGGAAGCTAGTGATGGTGAACGTGGACCCTCTCTTCCTCCCTAAGGAAATTAGAATGGGAGTACAAAAAGATTAGCACATATACACAGCAAATATGTGTTAACTGGTAAATGAACATCCAGAGGCCAGGTTATAAGCAGAATTCATTGTTAATAACTCAGGTCTTGCCTAGGTGAACAGTTAGTGTGCAGTAAGTTGAGGTGTAAATCTACAGAGCACTAGCGTGTTGCGCACCAACTGTGCATGTGGTCCCTGCTATTGTGCACTAATAGTCACCTGGTGAACACTGGCCTACTCCTATTTTGCAGCAGAGTAGATCAAGGTGCTAACTTTCAAAAAAAAATTCAAATAGGATACCATTTTTGAAGTCTAGGCAGTTAAAAACTCTCTCAGTCCTTACAGCTTGGCTCCTTTCCCTTTCAAATTTGGTCAAACTAGAATTCAACAAGATGTATGGGCTGTTGAAATTGGTTTCAGTAGGCTTAAGCTGATGTTATGAGCATTTGTTTCCAAAGACCATTTCAAACAGGAGGCTATCCGATTCTAACTAGAAAAAAAATAGCAAGACTTGTCCATCAGCTATTTGCCAACATATTCTTGCTCAGCTTTCTGTTCCATGAGTTGTACAAACATAGAATAAACATCGTTCCTAAGAGACAAAACTTGCTGTATAAAGTGAATGTTTGGCAAATAGTTTTTATGCTACAGTTTGTTAGTGATATTTTTAAACTATCTAACAAAAGTGTGGATTTTATATATATTACACACACATGTATGACTATTCAGAGAAGCCAGGTATCCAAGGACAGGCTCTTTTTGTCAAGACTTTTTTGGGGCAGGGACTATAATTTACTATGTTTGTACATTGCTTTGCACAATGGGCACTGGTTTCTTGACGACTCTCTACCATAATATAAATAATTACAGACACACACAAAAATGGAATGAAATTTGGAAAAAATATGTGAGCATGTAATCAAAGACTGGATCATAATCCATATGCAGAAGGGGCCAAATTAAAGTTGCATAGGCAAGCATAATTCTGGCATTTTCTAACTTTTTAGTGCTTGATTTCGCAACCTTAACAATGTAGATTTGTATGTGTAATTTCCTAAGGTTTTAAAAAGGCAAACTGAAAAAAACCAACAACCAGAAATTGTATCATGCTGACATCATATTACCACTGATGTCAGTCATCAGTGGGGTTGGAAACTTTAGATCCATGACACAAACTTCAGCCACTTGCACTAACAGAGCAACCAATAGCAGTAGTAATAGGTTGTCATCCTCTACATCCACGGTTCTCAAACTGGGGGTCGGGACCCCTCAGGGGGTCGTGAGGTTATTATGTGGGGGGTCGCGAGCTGTCAGCCTCCACCCCAAACACCGCTTTGCCTCCAACATTTATAATGGTGTTAAATATATTAAAAAGTGTTTTAATTTATAAGAGGGGTCGCACTCAGAGCAGGTTAGACAAACAATGTGGTGAAAGGGGTCACCAGTACAAAAGTTTGAGAATCACTGCTCTGTGTGGACTGGCACTAGAGGGGGACAGGACACTTTGAAAGTGGCTTTCACAGGTATTTGCTGATACAAGAGGAATTGCGACACTGGAATCTTGGGTTTTATTCTAGTCTCTGAAGGGGAGTGTACTCTAGTGGCTATTGATTCTTCTGCCCATTTCCTTCCCACCCCTTCTTCTCTGTCCTCTCTAAGCAGCTCCTGTTCGAGCCTTCCCTCTTCCCCATCTCTGACTCCTCACTCCGGTCCCATTCTCCTCACTTAGATAGGCCCAGTTTCTATTTGTCAGGCTTCTCATCCCAGGCCATTTGTTCAGCCATTCCCAATTCCCTCCACCATTTCCTAGATCTTTGTCCCCAGTTTCCTTTCCCAGCCAGTCCCAGTTTCTCCCTCTCGGATCCTCATTTGATCGATCTCTCCTGCCCACCCTGACCTCTAATTATAGATCCTACACTCCTGCACACACACACTCTCTATGTCCACTGGCTCCTAGACTCACTCTCTTCCCCCAGGCTCCTTGTCCAACCTCAGTGTCCCCCACTCCCTCCAGGGCTCCTTGACACAGTCTCTTAGGGTTACCATATTCAAACGTTTAAAAAAGAGGACACTTCACGGGGTCCCAGTCCCGCCCCCGGCCCCGCCCCAACCCCATCCCTTCCCCGCCCCCATTCCAACCCCTTCCCCAAAGTCCCTGCCCCAACTCTGCCCCCTCCTCTGAGCACCCC